TGTTCCCCGCCGCCCGCCCCACCGACGGCTCCGCGGGGCGCCGCGCCAGCGGCGCAAAGTCAGCAGTTGGCCCGCGCCCATTTCCCAGCTGGGTGAGGGGAAGCTTTGGCTCCTCGTTCGTTCCTCTTCGCCGCCCGAGCTGCTCGCTCTTTTCCCAGGAGATTAGGGAGGGTCGGGCACGTGGCTGCCTTTCCCCCCACGCCTCCCCCCAAAAGCAGAACGGGTTCCCCTCTGAAATATCCCTGTTGCCTGGGCCGCAGCAACTCCTTACACACCCATCCCACCCGTCCCAGCCTCTGCTGGGGCACTCCGGTCATTAGCGGTAGGAACACTCACGTTTTACAGTTGAGGAGACTGAGGCACGCAGAGGTTAAAAAAGCCACCCTGCTGATGACTGGGGTTTGGATCCTATGTGCCTATTGATGGCGTCTGTGCGCTAACCATTGGGCTCTACTACCTCTGGGATTCCACCATCATTCTGGAAGTACTTTTTGATGACATACATTTGCCAGGCACGGTTCTAGATTCCACGGATAACAAGCAAGCCAAAATCACAGCCACGGAGTCCTCCTGACGTGGACAGGGTAGAACGAGTAGAAAGCCCCATCTTTCTCTCCATGGTTTTGAACAACTGACCTTGCAGTTAGCAGCCCAACGTGTAACCATGATGCCACCAGGGCTCCAAAGTTCTGTGGCTACAGCAATGAATATAACAGCCCCCAAACTCGGTCTTCATGGATCTTACATTCCAGGAGCAGGCTGAGGTTTTGAGAGAGGGGACACGACACAGCAAACCTTATGAATCAACTCCAACCATAGCCACTCTATAGGACAGAACAGAGCTGCCCCCTAGGGTTTCCAAGATGGTAAATGTTCTACATTTTTCTCCCTTGGAACGGTTGGTGGGCTTGAATAGCTGACCTTTTGGTAAACTGTGGCATGGTTTAAACCCCTGCTCCACCAGGACTCATGGGAAGGGGGCAGCCGGGTTGCTATCACCCAGGGCTCACCCTCCCCCATGGACTTTCTCCTGCACCAAATCATACAGAATCCTTAATAATGTTCCTTATTAATGTTAATCAGGAGGTAAGTGATAAATACAAGTAGAATGGTAAATTGCTTAAATGTATTTCTTAGATTTAAAAAATCTTCCTCTGTTGATTCACAAAATTATGAGTTACAACTTAACAGTACCTGAGGCTGAAACCTTTTTAAATTATTGTCTTTCTTTTCCTTTCATTACTACTTCATTATCAAAAAGCTACTGATAGAGGTTCACAAATACAAATACCTCACAAACCCAGTCCCATCGAAGCAATACCGATTCATCGCCACGAACCTATGTGAGGTTTCTGAGACTATACATCTGCCTCATTTTTCTCCCTCAGAGTGGCTGGTGGGTTTGAACTACTGAGCTTGTGGCTATCAGCCCAATGCCTAACCCTCAGTAGAATGAAACACTGTCTGGTCCTATACCATTCTCAAAATTGCTGCCATGTTTCAACCAGTGTGTCAATCCATCACGTTGAAGGTCTTATTTTCAGATGACCCTCTACCAAGACTGGTCCTTGCTCAGATTATGTCCAAAGTATGAGAGATGAAGTTTCACCATCCAAGCTTCAGAGGAGCACTTTGGCTGTACAACGAGGGTCACTGTGAGTGTGTGATAGGACACTTCCTCCTGGGGTGCATGACCAAAGACCAAACCCATTGTCAGCGAGTCGATGCTGACTCATATTGACCCCTAAGAAGGTTTCTGAGGCTGCAAATATGTACTGGGAGCAGACAGCTTCATCTAGTGGGTTTGAACAGCTGACCTTGTAGTTAGCAGTCCAGGCATACCTGACAGTGCCACCAGTGCTACTGGAGTACATCAGAAGGCTCAGAATGTAGATTGAGGGACCCTGGTGGCCTAGTGGCTGTGCATCAGGCTTCGATGTGCAAGGTCAGCAGTTTGAAACCACTAGCCACTCCACAGGAAAAGACGGTGCTTTCTACTCCCATGAAGAATTACATTCTCAGAAATCCACAGGCGCAGTTCAACCCTGTCCTATAACGTCACTATGAGCCGGCATCAACTCATTGGCAGTGATAAAGTAAATTAACATAGAGTTTTAGCCTTGTAGTTATATTGACGTGTATAAGCCAGGCTTACACAAAAGCTTTTGTTATAACTAACTTCAGGGATTTTTTTATATAAAAATAGATTTCTAGTGAGCTCCTACCAAACATTTTTATAGACAATGATTTTGGTGTCACCCTTTCAGATGGTATCAACTAGTGCAGTCCACATATACTGTACTTCCCTAGTAACGCCACTGCTGGGGGAGGCAAGAAACTAAATAACTATGTAAATTGTGTAATATGATAAAAGATGGTGAGTGCCATGGATAAAAAAGCGGGTATGTGCGATAAGGAGCCCTAGTATAGTGGATGTTATCTTTCAAAATAAGGCGATTGGGGAAGGCTTTACTGAGACCTTGGAGCAAACACTTCCAAGATGGAAGGAACAATTCATTAAAGACCTTCCGGACTCCGTCTATACCAGAGCAAAGTTTCCAGAGATGGGGCTATTTTTAACAAATTCCATCCATGATTCAGATGCTCAGCCGGGATTAGAAGCTACTACCCTTGGCCTTTTCTCTGTGTGGGGGAAGACCACCTTCTGCTTTCAGGAAGCCAGGGGAGAAGTGGGAGTGAAGGTCTGATAACTGGTGGTGGGGGGGGGATGGTCATGCGCTTGAAGGACATGGAGAATCCAAAGATTAATCCCGTCTTCTTCATCTGGTGGCCATGAAGAAAGGAACAAGGTATTCATTGCACCTACATTTCTGGTTGGGCTCCCAACCTCAAGGTCAGCAGTTTGAAACCATCAGCTGCTCCTCAGTAGAAAGATGAGGCTTTCTAACTCTTGTCAAGAGTTAGAGTCTCAGAAACCCGCAGGGGCAGTTCTACTCTGCCGTGGAGGGTCAGTGTGAGTCAGAATGGACTCAATGGCAGGGAGGTGCTGCGTTTTGAGTATAGTTCATCCGTCTTTTTGTCAATGCGTGTTCTGGTTAAAATTGAACCATACTGGATCCTCGCTGAGAATCGGAGTTAGTGTAGTAAAGGATCTTAGCAGTAGTCTCTAAGGGCAGAAACAGATCCAGCGAGAGCCCTTCCCTGCTTACACAGGTACTACCAGAATTATGGTAAGAACTCATCCAGGCCAAAGCTTTCCCTCACACTTGGCAGTCCCACCGCCAACCGATGTGGGAAGAATGGTTGAACGGAATCATTTACTGGATTAAAAAATAAAATGCTTGTCATCTAGTCCCTCATTTTTAACCCATGAGTGGACTCACCTCAAGCAAGATACTTGGGACATTGCCCCACATTCAGGGGCCCGTGTCACATCTGACTTGTGTCAGGAACCTGGTGGTAAGTGAGGTTGACCTGGGAATCTCACAGGGTAAGTGGACAAAGAGGAGAGAAGACCAGTACCCTCTGCCTGCCCCATTGAACTGGGCATTTGGGGACACCCCCCCCCCTCAGAGAGAGGCTGGCACCCAGGAGCCTGTGCAAGAGAAAATTATTCTAGCAAGATCGGTGATTCAAACCCACCAGTCACCCCTTCAGTGAGAAATGAGGCTGTCTGCTCCCGGAAGGCTCTGCAGTTCTGGAATCTTACATTTAGTCCCTGTGGGTCGAATCCACCCAGTGCTAGGGGGGCTTTGGTTTGGGTTTAAAAGCCAGTCTTCAGAAGAGACCCTCGCAGCCTCGCTGCTTGATGCTCACGGGGTTTCTCACAGCCCTTCGCCCTTCTCAGGTCTTGGGATGCTCGTGTTTTTAGTAGCGATATGACGATATGATTGCTCCTTCCCTAGAGCAGGGGTTCTCGCCCTTCGTAATGCTGCCACCCTTCCATAGTTCCCCCAACCATAAAATTATTTTGGTTGCCAGTTTATCACTGTCATTTTGCTACTGTGATGAATCGGGCGACCCCTGTGAAAGGGTCGTTCGAACCCCAAAGGAGTTGCGACCCACAGGTTGAGAACCGCTGCCTTAGAGGGTTTTGGGAAGGGGTTAAATACGATTTCAAATCTTTGTGATTCTGAAAGCTATTACTATTCCGTCTCTTTCATGTACTGGTTCAGTCTCTGTGTAGCCTCCTGGGTGCAGAGGGGGTGTGTCCTGTTTTCATAATGCCCTATGGACCATGTGTTAGCTGTAGCATGGCGGGTCAATCTTTGACCTTCTGTGGGCCTGCTTTCTGTCAAATGGAGATAATGCAACCTATCTTGCTTCCCACAGAAGGCTGGGATGCCCCTTCCAGGCCCTAATAACTGTGGAGACCCACTGTATGGTGTCAAGAGCTGTACAAATGGGAGGGGGAGGGGTAATGACTGGGGCTGTCAAGAGGCCCAGGAGAGCCTGTCACTGTAGCCAGAAACAGAGACCAGGTTGACTCAGAGAAATTTTGAGTTTATTTATTCCTTCCTGCAAGCACTCACAGAAAGAAACAGCCATGGTTCTTCCTCTGGAAAGATGAACAGATCCAGGGAGCATCAAACAAGTTATATACCCTGAACTTTGTGGCAGGTTGTGGGGTCGTCAACATGTTTGACAGTGATCAGAGGATACCTTCAAGCAATAGGACCATAGGCAGCAAGGTTCGCAGGAAACGGTTTACATTTCCCCAAGGGCTTATCAGACCTTCACTCCAGGGGCTGTCAGATAGATGGCTTTGGGGCTCCATCGCTTATCTAAGTGGCTCTGCTTTCCCTTCCTAAATTAGGAACATCCTCAATAATTAACAGGCTTGTCTACAGGCCCAGGCCTTGGAATTTACTACAGGGGAGAGGGCTGTTACATCCTGGATCCCTTTTAATAAACTGAATCTCAACAAACTGTTAACATTTCCAGTATTGATTACCTGCAAGCTAACTCTTCCACTTCCCTGTCTCAGTACAACTTCGTAGTTGTAGGAGCTCTCTGAGTTGGAACCCACTCAGTGAGAGTACGTAGGGGCTGTTGGTCTTTGGCTTTTGTTTTGGAGGCGTTCTGAGGGGTTCCCTGTTGCACTGCTACCCATAAGGTGAGCAGAGCAAACCCGCTACCCTCTCTACAGAAAGACGAGGCTGTCTGCTTCCACAGTAAAGATGAACAGCCTTGGAAACCTGGGGAGCAGTTCCGCTCTGTCCCATAGGGCCCCAGTGAGTTGGAATCCACTCCAGGCAGGGCGTTTGGTTTGAGTTTTTATTAGTAAGAATTGACACTTAATAACTGGCGTATTTAAACACCCGAACGAAGTCAATACTGACTTAAAGCGACCCTATAGGGTAGGGTAAAACTGCCCCTGGGCGTGTCGGAGACTACAACTGTTTAAGGGCATAGAAAGTCCATCTGTCTCCTTTGGAGCTACTGGTGGTTTCGAACTGCTAACATGCGGATCTCAGCCCAACGCGTAACCACAACGCCAGCAGCGCTCCCTGCTGTATTTAAAGCGAGCTACAAAAGCACACCGTTTGTAAAGCCTGCCACTTTCACCATCTCACAGGAGCAGCCTTCGTGAGCTTTACTAGCTGGAGGTTTCTTCCAGAAGCCAGTAAGGCAGGAGGCGGGAAGAACAGTTTCCAGCGGAGCTTAGCAGACACGGTGCATTCGGAAGGCGGCGGCCCCTTTAAATATTGAGATGAGGGGCGGGGCCCTCGCCATGGAAACCGTACGGAGGCTTGGTTTCCCGGCAGTGACGTTGGGGAGGCCGCCGGCATGGAGGACTTGCTGGACCTGGGCGAGGAGTGGCTTCGCGGCCCCGCCACCTCCGTGAGGACCGACGGCAGGGCTTGGGGCCTGGAGGCGGCGGGTGGGAGGAGCGCCCCGCCGGCTCGGCTGCTCCCGGCGGGCGGCCCCGCGGCCCGGGCGGCGGCGCGGGAGCGCGCGGACCGGACCCCGAGGAGGCGGGCCCCGGCCGAGCCTCCGCTTTGTCGCGCTTGCCCTCCTCCTGGGGCTCATCCCAGGGGCGGCTCCTCCTCAGGTTCACGGCCAAGCCGCCCCTTTTCGTGCGAGGCGGAGGGCAGGCCCGGTGGACCCCCTTTCCCATCATGCCACGGGGCGGTGGCCGTCCATCCGAGCGGGCGTCGGGAGCTGGAGGGCCGGGGTTCTGGCGGGGAGGCGGGGCCGGGCGGGGAAACTTGTCCCGCGGGAAAGCTGCTCCCCACTGAGCCTGGGGCCCCCCCAGAATGAAGTGCTGCTGCCTCCCTCGGGCCCTGGCGGTGAAGCTGGGATGGCGTGGGGCTTGCCAAGCGCCCCGCAGCACGTGCTGTGTGCCACATTCTTAGCCAAACGGAGCTGCTGGGGCCCCCGGCTGTGATGCACCCAAAGCCAGGGTCAGGGAATAAAGGAGCTAGATTCAACTAAGCGGCCCTGGTGGCGCAGCACAAAAGCGTTCTGCTGCAAACCGTTTTTACGAGGGGGGGGGAGCGGGGGTGGGGGTGTTCCGCTGCCTTGATTCTGTAGGGGCTGGGGCCTTGGAAACCCCGTAGGGAGGACAGTTCTGCAGCCCACAGGATCGCCCTGAGTGGGAACTGGATCCACAGCAAGGAATATTTTGTTTTTGTTTTTGAAAACAACACGGCCCAGCCGCCCCCTCCCACGTGTTCAGCTTAACTTCCGCACAGCCCCAATTGAGCTTTTTTACCTTTAAAAGTAGTCGAGAGGGTTGGTCCCAGAGGCGAAGTCTATAGCTTCAGCTTTGCAATCGGTGGTTTGAAGAGCTCTGATAGCATGGATACCTTCCAGGGTGCTAGGGAAAAACCACACCTCGTAGGAAGCTGAGACTGGGGCAGATTGCCCAGGAGGCAGGGTGCTTGGCTGACCTAGAAGAATATGAGATCCCAGGTCTTTCTGATACGGGCATCCCCTATGGACCATGTGTTAGCTGTAGCATGGCGGGGCAATCTTTGACCTTCTGTGGGCCTGCTTTCTGTCAAATGGAGATAATGCAACCTAT